TCTTAAATGGTTTCAAACTATTTTATTTTTATACATTTTTGTGGTTTCCTCTTTTTCTGCTTTACAAAAGAAAGATTTTTTGAAGAATGTTAGAAACTGGTAGCCATTGACTTCTATAGTATATTATAGTATATGATCATATCACCCCAATTTTATCCTCCTTACACTGGCTGCCTGTTAAGTTTCGTATTGAATTTAAAATATTACTTCTCACCTATAAAGCTCTAAATAATCGAGCTCCTGTTTATCTAACCAACCTTCTGTCTCGCTACAATCCAACTCGCTCTTTAAGATCTCAAAACTCAGAACTTCTGGTAGTACCTAGAATAGCAAATTCGAGTAAATGAGGTCGAGCCTTCTCTTTCATGGCTCCTACACTCTGGAATAGCCTTCCTGATAACGTCCGAGGCTCAGACACACTCTCCCAGTTCAAAACTAGATTAAAGACCCATCTGTTTAGTAAAGCATACACTCAATCCATCACCTAGTGGGTTCCAAACAGGCTTCTGCATCTTGCTTATATACACTATGAACAGCAGCTACGCTAATTATTCTCTTTATTCTCTATTTTCACCTGGGGATACTCATCCCGAGGTCCTCAGATTATGCAGAGTCACTGATTGGATCCAAGACCAGCGACGAGATGATCCCAAGGTTTCCATATCCGGGACCAGGCCATATCCTGAGCTGCTGCTGCACTGATGGTCATGGGAAGTGGAGAACATGAGACTGATTCAGCGACGCTCCAGGGACATACGAGTCTTCGCTGAGGCCATCTTCCAGCCCACCGCGGTGACTGAAGCTCTGCACAAGACTTTTGGCCAGCGCAGAAATTAAAATGGTCGTGCCGAACTGAGTCTGGTTCTCTCAAGGTTTTTTTTTCTTCACTCCCATCAGGTGAAGTTTTTTTTCCCTCTCCGCTGTCGCCACTGGCTCGCATGGTTCAGGATTGGTAGAGCTACGCATCGATGAATTTGCTCTTCAGTGTTTGAACTCTCAGTAATGATTAAATCACACTGAACTGAGCTAAACTGAACTAAACTGAACTTAAACACTAAAAACTGAACTACACTGTTCCAGTTACTGAACCACACTGTTCCAGTTACTATGACCATTTATGTGAAGCTGCTTTGACACAATCTACATTGTAAAAGCGCTATACAAATAAAGATTAATTGAATTGAATATAGTAGGACAAAATAAACAAATACCGTACATGTCGATGGCTACAGATTTGAAGCATTCTTTAAGATATCTTGTTATGTGTTTAGCTGTAAAAAAAAAAAAAAAAACTCAAGGTTTGGAACTACTTGAAGGTATTTTGGGTAAACTATCCCTTAAAAAATCTGGTCCCAAACATTTTAAATGTATCTGTAAATTATATATTTTTTAAATGTTTTTCGAACATAAATGCTGTGGAGTAGAGCTTCTTGTGCTTAAAATATATGAAATGATATATATATATATGAAAGGATCACAATACCATACATCCTTGAAGTTTTGGTTTTACGTAGGTGAATGAAGCTGAATAAGCAGGAGTGTCACTCCAGCACCCTTAAATTGCATTTATTTGTGTCATGGATTCTCCAGAAAGCCGATCATGACACACGGCTCAGTTTTACATGCTAAAATGAAGAAAGGCCTACAAAGCTGTTTCATCATCATCATCAGATGAGATTCACAAGTTAATTGCTGTTTCTTCTAAAAAATATATTAATTTTCCTTTCTTATAGTCCCTTATTTATCAGGGGTAGCCACAGCGGAATGAACCGCCAACATATGTTTTATGCAGCAAATGCACTTCCAGTCCCAACCCAGTATTGGAAGCACTCATACACACACACACTATGGTCAGTTTAGTTTCTCTAATTCACTTACACCGCATGTTTTTGGACTGTGGGGGAAAGTGGAGGACCCGGAGGAAACCCACGACAACACGAGGAGAACATGCAAACTCCACAAAGAAATGCCAACTGACCTAGCGAGACTTGAATCAGCGACCTTCTTTCAGTGAGATGTAAGTGCTAACAACTAAGCCACCGTGTCACCTGTTAAAAATTCAATACCTATAAAATGTATTTATAATAAAGGTGCTAAAAATGTACTCTCCAAGTGGAAATAAGTTGACCAGATTGTCTTGAAAAATTTAATGATTTTTTTTGTCAAAATATTTTGTTTAAAAATAAATATTAGAAAACGAAGATATCTTAAATATGTAAAAATATATATATGTATATAAGGTACTTAGGTATTAAGTAAAATACATATATATATACTACATATTTGTGAAGGAAAAAGTATATATAATATTTAAATATTAGTAGGCTGAATAAATATATTCAATAAATTTGTGAAATAATAATAGCAGCATTGCTAAGTTAAAATATAAAACAAACATAAAACACAAAGTATTAATTCATTGTTAATTAATTGGGCAATAAGGTGGCTCAGTGGTTAACACTGTTGCCTCACACCAAAAAGGTCGCTGGTTCGAGCCTTGGCTGAGTCAGTTGGCATTTCTGTGTGGAGTTTGCATGTTCTACCCGTGTTCGCGTGGGTTTCCTCCGGGTGCTCCAATTTTTCAGGTTTTCACTTTTTTAGTTCCATAGAATAAAGGAATTTGGAACAAAATGAGGATGAGCAAAGCAAATGATGACAAAATTCATGTTTTTACTGTAATCCTGTGTGAGAAAGAGAAGAAATGTTTATCCAACTCAAACAAAGCCAATAAACCATCCTCCTGCTTAATTTTACAATAAAAAGAAGTTATTAGGATAAATATGCTACATCCAAAAGTACTTTCGGTTCTTAGTATCCAACAGTAATTTAAAAATGGCGTTTTCATACCAACAGTTCATGGTAAATTTACCGGCCGTGTCGTAAACTTGATTTAAGAGCGCCACAGCCTGTAATCCCTGTGTATAGAGCGCCATCAAGTGGATATATTTATAACACACAGTTGTGCCATTGCTGATCTGTTGGATCCGATGCACAAAACGCTGGGCACGGATTTTTGGATTTGTCAGTAGGCCTCAGCTGCACACTAAAGCTGTTAATTTGGTCTTGTTAGGTTAGACTACATCATGGCCTTTGCGCAAGGAATAAAGTTCAATTAAGTTCAATGTTACAGCTCGCACAAGTCTTGCCAAAGAGACAAATCAACTGCCAAACGCTTTATTAAGATGCCAGTGACAATCAACACATGATTGAGACAGGAGATAAAGCCACTTGGGCTGTTTTTATATTGTCATGTCCGTAAAAATCGAAAGTAAAGGACAGTATTTGGTATGTGATTGCAGTTTTTCTCAGTCGCTTTGGTGCATTTTTCAGATCAGAATTGAAATTAGCAAAACAGTAGGTGCATTTCTCAATACAACGTGTACAAATAGCAAAACACCATGGATTACCTGCAAAAGCCAGTCATGATTACCTTGCTTAAAATCCTTAGTTCATCACAGAAAATTAAATGTCTGTGTCAATGAACATGTCAGTGCCATCAGAATGACAAGTTCTTGTGTCATTGTGTTTGGATAAGACAATCAAATTACATAGGCATCATATTGTCAATATGACTATGTTCTGAAGGGGTGTTCTGATGTAAACTATGGCTATTTATTTATTTGTTTTCTGAAGTTTGTACTGTAATTTGTTGACAAATCATAACATTAAGAGGAAAAGACAGCACTTCATAGCAAAAAGAAAAAACTAAAGTAGATATGTGAACACAGGACAATCTCCTTTGAGATGCTTGCATCTTCATTAGAAAAAGTCAAGATTCACCTGGGAGAAAATTTACCAATTGTAGACAAATTTATTAAAAAAGTCTAATGGAAACATGTGGAAAAATGTATTATGACAACTCCGAATGAATACGGCTTTACAGCACGGCCAAAAAGGGATAGATTGGTATCTGACCATCTTTGTAAGTCACTCTAAATACATCTGAATAATTTAGGATAGTTTGCTTTATACAAGTCCTGTAGTAGAGAATGTATATGAGTTCCTAGATAGTTGATGCCCTCTTTGGGTTATCTAAGCTACTCTGTTTTATCACCCTTTCTGGTATTAGATTTCCAATATTTAATGCTTTAGTTTTATTCCAATGTTTAATGCTTCAGTTATATGTTAACTTCATAGCCCAAATATTGGACAAAATATGAAACAATTTCTTTGAGTTTGGCTATTGTTAGTTGTCGATTGGATAAAAACAGCAATACATCGTCAGCATAAATTGAAATTTTATGCTTGACTCCCCCCTATTTAAACACCTGTTATCACCTTGCTTTCTCTTATGAGCTGTGCTAGTGGTTCTAATCTTACAGCAAATAGCAGAGAGGAGAGAATTTCAATTCTGATCTGAGCAATACCTCATGCTGCACTTGTTCTAAACTTTTATGAGTTTAAAAATAAACAAAGAAGATAATCTGAAGAATATTGGAAACAAGCAGCCATATATTGTAAAACAAATATATCTGTTGATTAACAGTTTCCATATTTTGATTCACAAGTGTTTTCCATTAATTTACAGTTATGAATTGCATTATGGTAATTATGGTACAGTATATACCTTGATCTCTGCTCTGTCGACTAAAATTGAAATTTCAACTGTAGAGTTAATAGTGAATTTTATTGATATTTTAGTAGCTTGAAATAATATAACGTAGAAGAAAAAATAAAAATAAGTCTGTAAAATAAGAGAAAATATACTGGCATTATTACAAGATTTTTGTACCATAATATAAAGCCGCAAAATTACTTTAAACTATTAAAACTTTTAATAAAAGTCACATTTTCAAACTTTTTTAAAGGTTTTAGTTGTTAGAGGTTAAAGTTGTTAAAAGATAGATCAAGGTCCTATAATGCAATTCAAAAGCATAAATAAATCTGGAAAAATAAAAAACATCAATCACAAAAATGTGAATGACTGCCAATTTAAAGATATTTTTTTTATAGTGTAGTAGGAACAAAAAATACTATAGAGTCAATAACTGCCAGTTTAGTTCAGATGCTCAAGAAGATTTGTTTATCAAACTTGTTTTCAATAAATAAAAATAAGAGGATGACAACATAATAAAACATAAATAAATGCAGAATGAAAGAAGAATTTGCACCTTTAACAGTTCAAAATTATGCATGTCTGTTTTTGTAAATGAAACCTACTATCCAAATGTACAAAGCAGATGGCTAAGTGAATATTGCAGGAGAATGACTCGACACCTGAGAGTGTGAAAGACGGGTGACAAACAGCTGACAAAGCGCTGTAAACTTTAACATTTTATGAACTGCTCTTCACTTCACCTGCACTCCCATGATGACAACTTTGCCTTTATTTGCATTATATATATATAAATAAGATGGAGTGAGATATTTTCCAGTTCTTTACAGAGTATAAATTAAAAAGATGCATTATTTACAAAAGAATAGATCTATTTAATTTTCATAAAAGCACAACATATTTACAATATAAAACATATGTATGCATATAACAAAATATCTATTGTACATGTAGTTTTCTGTTCTTTCTCTGTACAGCATGGTAATATATATCATTCACTGACTCGGTGTCTTTGGCGCTCAGATAGCCGAGGATGGAGTTTCCAGCCCAGAGACTGACCCCTGCTAGGCAGAAACAGAGCTGTGGGCTTTTCCACGGAGATGTGGTGATCTGGGTGTGGAGCATGAAGACGACAACAGCCAAAGTCCCCTAAATACGAACAGATTTACATGGTTAATCGTGCGAAATCATAGGGAGCAAATAGAAAGAGGTCATATGATCTGTATTGTGTGTTGTCCTGCATTTTTGTCAGATTGATCACAAATTGAGCACAATAAATAGCGTAAATGGGGTCTGAAATGTTTTGAGCTTGTCCACTTTTGACCACTTCTTTCACTGCTTTCATAGTGTAGACACTCACATAGTCAAATATGTTTTACCAGCCACAAAAGTCTGCCTCCTCTCTGCGTATTGGCTTATTTTTATAAATATTATGGGATGTGGTGTTGAAACATGAAGGCAAAAGTTTAATATAAACCTATAAATACGATATAAAAGTGAAAAAAACAAGACTGAAAAAGCACTATGTTTTCTTGCTAGTGCAGATTCTAACACAAATCATCTGAGTAGTTTTGCAACTGTCAAACTAGGACTGCACAATATATCGTTTTAGCATCCAGTTTGTGCATCCGCAATAGTCACATTGCAGGGTTTGCTATGTTAAATTGGGATTATAGTTGACCAGGAGCCGTAATCCAGAACATGGAGTCATTGGAGATTTTTACCATAATGGAACAAATGTTACATGTTTTTAAGGCCTATGACTGTATGAGCTTATTAAAGAGAGTTTAAAGAATTCAGGCACATTTAAAACTTGACTTAAAAAATATTTTATTGAATTATTTATAAAATGAAGATGCCATGAAGTGCAATTTTACTTTGATTATTCCATTTCTGTACCTGAATTCTTACCAACTAGAGCTTTTTAAGTTATCTGGTGAAACTGTATTCATATCGCAAAATACCGTATATCGCAGAACAACAAAGCATCACAATGTCAGACTTTTCCAATATCAGGCAGCCCTACGTCAAACCATCATCAATAATGTAAGCTTATTTAGATTAACAGATTATTAAAAGCTCATGCATATACCAATTACAGACTTTGGCCCTCAGGAAGAAATCAGGAAGGTGGTTAAAAATGGACAAAATGGTAACACTTTACAATAAGGTTCATTAGTTAATGCATTTACTAACATGAACTAATCATGAACAACACATGTACAGCATTTATTAATCATAACTGAACATTTACTAATGCATTATTAACATCCAAGTCCATGCTTGTTAACATTAGTTAATGCACCATGAGTTAACATGAACTAACAATGAACAACTGTATTTTCATTAACTAACGTTAACTAACATGAACAATTACAGTAGTAAATGTATTGTTCATTGTTTGTTCATGTTAGTAAATGCATTAATTAACATTAACTAATGAACCTTATTGTAAAGTGTGACCGACAAAATAATCACCAGGTGTAAACGGGAATGTGCCTCCTTTCACTACTGGTGATCTGATTGAACAAAAAGCAAGTTAGAGTAAACAAGGCCAATATTGTGGTGATCATTTGTGTTTTCAATGTGAATGTTTTTCCACTATAAAATTTTTCACACAATTTGTGACAAATTAGTTCCAATCAATCTGCTTGAAATTTTGCAATGTCAAAATTTGACTTTCAACGTGAAATTTTGTTGGTGTTTTTTAAGTGTTTTAATTCTTTTAACAAAAACGTGCAAATAAAATGATAGGTCTAGATTGCTCTGCAAGGTAATTTGCTTATTTTGCTAAAGTAGATGATATATTTAAGGGAATAATCCACCCATGAATTTAAATTTTCTCGCTATTTACTCACCCTCAAGTTGTTCTAAACCTTCATCAGTTTCTTTTTTTCTGTTGAACACAAATGAAGGTATTCTTGAGAGGAAAAGCAAATACTATAGAAGTCAATGGTTACGGGTTTTCAGCTTTCCTCAGAATATCTTCCTTTGTGTTCAACAGGTGAAAGAAAATCAAACAGGTTCGTGACAGGTGAAGGGTGAGTAAATATTGACAGCATTTTCATTTTTTCGGTGAACTATCCCTTTAAATACATACTTCATTTGAAAAAAGAAACAAATACATGTTTGTGATGTTGTTTATGGATGGTTATTCAAACTACGAATTAATGAAACAGAGAAATCGTGAAACTGTGTTGCCAACAGCCAAGCGGGCCATCATAGTTGACTAATAATGCTTGTGTGAAACAGAATGCTTAGCATTTTACAGAGACTAGAAATAATGCAATAATAATAAAAAATATGTTAAACACTTTCTGCAGATAATGCAGGTTAATACCACCTATTGTGGTATTAAATAAAATAATAACCTTTTAAAAAAGCATTATATGGCATTCTCAAATCCTAATGTTATTTAGTTTGCAAGAAATACTAACAATATGGGCATCATGATGGCGCAGTGGGAAACACCATCGCCTCACAGCAAGAAGGTCACTAGTACAGGCCCGGGCTGGGTCAGTTGGCATTTCTGTGTGGAGTTTGCATGTTCTCCCCTTGTTCACATGGATTTTCTCTGGGTGCTTCGGTTCCCCCCACAGTCCAAAGACTATAGGTGAATTGAATAAGCTAAATTGGTCGTGGTGTATGTGTGTGTGTGAGTGTGTATGGGTGTTTCACAGTGTTGAATTGTGGCTGGAAGGGCATCTTCTGGGTAAAACATGCTGGAGGGGTTGGCGGTTCATTCCGCTGTGGTGACCCCTGATTAATAAAGGAACTAAGGTGCTCAGAGGAAGGCATAGGTACATACAAACATTTGTTTTGGGAGTGTACTGAAATAAATAACTTTTGAGATAATGTGTCACTGACCTCAAAGGACATACTGGAATCAGACATACCATGTTGTCCTAAGCTTTTCCTTTTAAATAATGATTCCTTTTTTGACTTTTCTTTATTTGAGAAAAAAAATCTTATTTTCTGCTCTAACAGCAGCTAAAGAAATATTAGCTTTACGTTGGCATCCTCCAAACTCCCTGGACCGGAAACACTGGATGTATATGTTCTTGGACATCGAAAATATGGAACTGTCTGTGGCAAGGATACATGGCGCCTCACCAAAAACTATTACTTCATGGATATTTGCATTAACTAAGATAAAAGATATGCTACCGTGATTTTTTTTTCTTAGCATTTTATTTAACCTATGTAAAAGTCCAGTATATCTACCTTTGTTAAAAGTGTTCTTGTAAGAAGTTAAATGCAGAGGTTAATTTATTTATTTACATTTTTTTTATTATTCTACCCTTTTTATGTGTATATATATATAAATTTACTATTTTTATTCTCTCTCTTTGAGAATATTCTATTCTCTGTCTTTTCCTCCTATCTATTTCCTTTTTTGTTAATTATTTATAATTTTTTTCGCGGGGGGTAGGTGGGGTGGGGTAATAATAGAAAATGCAGTTGGTTGGTATCCTTGTATGTGTGCAAGATTATTTTCAACTGTTTAATAAAAACTTGATCACAAAAAAATAAAATAAAGGAACTAAGCCGAAAAGAAAATGAATGATTAAATACCGACAATATGACTTACCACAGCTCGGCTGGTGAAGACAGACACCTCATTGGTTCCCATTTGTTTTTGAGTAATAAAAGAGGCAAAACTGTCTCCAATCATCATGGCTCCAAATGCACGGGTGAGATGAAGATTATCCTCATATCCATGTATCTACAATGAGTAAATACACATTATGAATTATACCACCGTCCTTCTCACAATGTAACCATCTTTCTGCAATACTTCATATATTATCCATATCAAACAGTTAAATGGAATTATTAGATTGTGTTTTGTAGATGTTTTTACCTGTGACCCAAGAAGCCATCCTGGAAAAACCAACCACATGAGGCCAAAAATGAAGTTGGCAAAAAAATCCATTTGAAGGAAAAACCTCTGGGGCCTGGTGAGCAGTTCAGATCGTTTCAAAGAGCCTTTCAACTGACTGTGATCCAAGATCAAAAGAATCAAACTGTTTAGAAGAAAGAACAAGAACACCGCCACATCCACCATGGGAAGCTGGAGAGGAAAGAAAAAAATCAAGAGCTTATTTTTGTGATGCTTATGGTTGATGGAGTTGTAGCAAACATTTTGTTTCATGGCTAAGGGCACTGTTCAGATGCTGGGGCGACACATTTATATATATATATACATTTATATATATATTTATATATAGCCTACTTTTTTTGCCGCGAACTTAACATAATAAAACCTCAAAATCTTATATGTTCTATATGTAATTTTCTAATAGTATTTTGGCCATTTTTAATTCAGTGTTTCACCTTGTTGGTTTGGTTATAACAAAAAAAATAATAATTTAATGAAAGAAATAGGCTACTCTTCAGAATCAAGGCTGCTAAAACAGTATTTAATTCTATAATAACACTCATTTGTGTGTGGTTTTTTTTTTGAGACATTTTTTGTCACTTTACCTTCCACCATGCAACAGAGATTTATAAATGCATTTGTTGTTGACTTCAAAACATTGGAATAGAGATATTCAGGAGGTTAAACTATAGCCTTAAATGTTTTATATCATTTTTCAAAACATTTAGGGCCATTTTAATTTAAAATGTTGTGTTTCACCTTATTGGTTTGGTTGTAACTCTTTAACAAATTTTGATTAAATGTAATTAAATAGAAAAAAATAAGCTGCTCTTCAGAATTAAGGCTGCTAAAACACTAATTAATTTTATAATTATTTTGATTCTTTGAAATATTGTCTCTTTAAACATCCACCAAGTATTAAAGGCAGCATTATTTACAAATGCATTTGTTGTTTTATTCAAAACATCGAAGGTTAGAGATTTTCAGGAAGTTTTAAACTTAAGATATTAAAACCACCAAGCCTTATGTTTGTATCATTTTCTAATACTTTTTAAGGCCATTTTTATTCAGTGTTTGTAATGTTGTGTTTCACCTTGGTTTGTTATAAAATATAACTCTTTAACAAAAAATTATTACCTCAAACGTTTAGTTACCCTAACTTTTTTGGTTTTACAGTGTACTAAACCACATTATTGTTTGTTAATAAGGGCTTTCTTTTAATTTGTTTGTTAGGGGCTCAAATACATTTTAAACCATTCACTGGTTATGCATTTCAAATCCCCCCCCTGCTCGTTCCCTGCTCGTGAAGCATGGTTTGCATAGGAGCTACAAATTAATGCTAAAGGTCAGGTGTTTAGTTAAGATGTTTAAATCACTTAACACAAATATGAAAGATGTTTCACCTACTCACTCACTTTCCTTTATGCTTTACAATATTAGATTGTTAAAGCATAAAATGCATTATATTATTATTCATAAAGTTTCACATTTATTTTTTTAGTCATTAAGGGAAAACTGTTATCCATACATAAATCATCTACACGTTTATTCATGAATTAATAAAATATATAACTCATAATGTACATATTATTCATTCATTCATTTTATTTTTGGCTTAGTCCCTTTATTAATCTGGGGTCACCCCAGCGGAATGAACCGCCAACTTACCCAGCATGTGTTTTTACGCAGCGGATGCCCTTCCAGGTGCAACTCATCACTGGGAAATATCTACAGGTGCGGATAGGTCATCTGGCAATTCTGGCAAATGCCAGAAGTGCCGGACCATTTTTTAAATGTGGGCCGGTCAGTTTTTTTTTTTTTTATGTATCGTTTTTACATACAGGCAGCTTTTAACTCTTCCAAGATGTGAATATGATGATGATGATAATAGTAGTAATAATAATAAATGTTAAGAATTTGGCCCAATCAGCAACGGCCGGCTGGTTTCGAGATGAGCCGACCTAATCCGACCTAATCAGAGGTTACATGGACATAATCAAAATCTGGCAAGAATGTCAAACAAACAGTAAGTGCAACACAAGCCAATTGTCTGAGATGGACCGTAAAAAAAGTAAAGGTGGTGGCGAAAAGTTCAGAGAAAGCAAAAAAAAGGGAACAACGCAGTGGCGTAGTGGGTAGCGCTGTCTCCTCACAGCAAGAAGGTCGATGGTTTGAGCCTCGGTTGGTTCAGTTGGTGATTCTATGTAAAATTTGCATGTTCTACATGTGTTGACGTGGGTTTTCTCCACATGCTCCGGTTTCCCCCACAAGTCCAAAGACATGCGCTATAGGGGAATTGGGTAAACTAAAATTGTGTGGATGTGTGTGTATGGGTGTTTCCCAAAACATGCTGGATAAGTTAGCGGTTCATTTCACTGTAACGACCCCAGATCAATAAAGGGACTAAGCCGAAAATAAAATGAATGTGTGTATAAATTTGTTATAAATTTGTTGTTTTTGTTTCACTCACAAACAATAAATGTTTAAATATCTATTAAATATGGTACTGCTTATATTATTTCACCATCTGTACACCAATATAAGTAGTGAATGTGCGTGTCCGTGGGTGGTGCTGTGTCGGTGTGGTAATGTGGGCTGGTGTGGCTACAGTGCCAGGGCTTACTTTTTGTCCCAGTCCACCCCTGAACATCTATACACACTCATACACTAAGGACAATTTTAGCTCACCCAATTCACCTATACCGCATGTCTTTCGACTTGTGGGGGAAAACGAAGCACCCGGAGGAAACCCACACAAACACAGAGAGAACATGCAAGATCCATACAGAAATGCCAACTGACCCAGCTGAGGCTCGAACCAGCAACCTTCTTACAGTGAGGTGACAGTGATACCCACTGCACCACCGTGTCGCCATGTACATATCAATGAAAGATAAATGTTTGAACACATAACTGCAGATTAGCATACAGCTTAACATGTTATCACACGTGTCAGCTTTAGCATATATTTATGGCTACTATAATACACAAAGAAGCTTATAGCCAGCTATTTATCACATGATTTTTTTTTTCTTTTTGAACAGGCAACTTAACTCTTTAATAGAAATCATTGGGAATTAGGTGCTTGTATATTGTTGACAATGAGGAATGAGAATTTATTTACTGCTTTTATTTATCAAGCAAAACATATAGCAATAAATAAATAAGTATATTAAAGGCCATGTAAAATAGATCGAGATAAGACCAAAACAATGTTCAAAGGGATTTTCAAGTGGCTCTAAACTTTTATTAGTTTCTTTCTTCTGTTGGACACAGAACAGATCCCCCCCATTGTGTAAAGCGCTTTGAGGGCCCAGAAAAGCGCTATATAAATGTAAGGAATTATTATTACTATTATTATTATTATTATTACTCTCAGAAATAAAGGTACACAAGCTGTCACTGGGGTGGTACCATTCCAAAAGGTACAAATTTGTACCTAAAAGTCCATATTATTACCTCAAGGGTACATATTAGTACCTAAAAAGTGCAAAAGTGTTCCTCTTAAAATTTTTATACACTAAATATACTTTTGAGGCACCAATATGGACCCTTCAAGTACAAATGTGTACCTTTTGAAAAGGTGTGACCCCAGTGACAGCTCTCGTACCTTTATTGAGTGTAGGAAAAACTAATACTACGGAAGTAAATGGTTATATGAAGTGTTCAGATGCAAAAACCTCTAAGTGCCATCTGAAATGTTCTGCCAAAAATAGGCATTATTCTTAGCTTCCTTTGTTTATGTTGAGTTATTTCACTTTAAAAAACAAATTTCAGTCAGCATTTAGAGGTTTTTGCATCTGAACTCTTCATATGTTTTGTGACATTTTTCAAAATATCTTCTTTTGTGTTTAAACGACTCAAAGGCTTGAAAGAAGTAATGTGTGAATAACTGACGACTGAATTTTCTTTGCGTGAACTGTCCCTTTAAGGCCAATGCTGGAGTAAACCAAATGCATGTGAATATTATAAATGATTCACCATAGATACAATTCAGAAGCAGAACCAGAACAGTAATGTAGTAATGCAGTAATGTATAAAAGGAAGTTTTTCAAAAGATAATAAAATATAAAAGCTTTATCTGTTTACACACTTGCAAAATTAAGGATGTTGTAGTACAGTATGTGCCAGGTCATGCTAGTTGACAGTGTCACTAAAAAAATATTCACTCTTGCATATATTGTAACTGTATGTGTGTTTTGGCTGTCAAGTACCGATGTGTATTAAACACATATTATTATATATTATATTATTATAGTATTATATATTTTCATAAAAACACATTTTTATCGTTTACATGGAGATGATACATGGATTTTTTAGGCCACCAAAATACTGTTGATATGCAAATGAATGACCAAAATGCAGTTTTAAATTGAAGTGTTATGGCAATGCCCACTGGTAGGACCCAGCCAACCATGCAGGTGTAGGACAAGATGTTATCTTGATAAACTTCCTCCTTTTCAAATCACTTAAAGTTCACTATTTAACATAACATTGTTGAATGCATTTTTTAAGTAATACATAAATATGTTTACATCATATCTGTTAAAAACTGGGATGTAAAACTTTGGGAAACCCACCCCCAACAAATCCCAAAATGACTCCAAATAAAAAAAATAAAAAGTTTTGATAGCCTAATACACAGAAATGTAATCAAATCTCAATTACTTTTGTTTACTGTATGATGTAAATGTACATTTTCATTGAAGTTATCATTAAAGAGCAGCAAATGAACTAGATTTTTAGTTTGATTAATAACAGAGGTGTCAGATCTAAAATGAACACATTTTATTAACAGTTTAAAGCAAAAAACTAAAAATTTAAAACACAATGAGTTGTGTTTAAAATAAAGCCTGCAAAGATAGACATGTTTGCGTATTATTATGCATATTGGTAATTAGGCATTGTCCACATCCGTGCCTTTTCAAATCGCATAGAAGCTTATGTGACGAACAGTGTCTTTATCATGGAGTGTGTCCGACAGTCTCACACCACTGCATGAATTGACTGATTTGAAAGTTGCACACACTCTAAAAAATGTTGGATTATTTTAACTCAAAATCGAGTATATGGACAAACCAAGCCATTGAGTTTAAGATAGGCTATTAATTTAACTCCAAACTTTAATCCAGTATTTGGGTTTTTCCATATTTTACACAGTTTTGGGTTCAAATAACCCAGTATTTTTTAGAGCATAGGAAGGGCGATTTTTTTTTAATAGAAAGGAGGGGATTGCATCCATTTTTATATTCACTTCAAAATGCTTTCAAGCCAAAAAAATGAAAGCATAATTCTCTTGAACAGCTCTTGCAATTTGCCTATAATCCCATTTGAGATGAGCTCTGTGTACTGCCACCTTTTATAGAAAGATTAAAAATGAGGGTGAAATAAGGTTATACTTAAAAGGGATGATAGCAGATAGAATAGTAAAATATGGGAGAATCCCAGGAAAAATGAGAGGGCTGACTGGTATGGTTTATGTTGGTTATCTCAAATTTCATTGGTATTAGGACCTATAATAAGAATATAAAAATCATGTTAATCCATACACTCAGAAAAAACGGTTCAGTGTTGTACTAAGGAAAAAACCCTTGTCACTATGGGCAGTACCTTTTTATGGAACAGAATTGTACCGAAAGACAAAGAAACAAAGTTGTATCATTGCAGTTTGTACCTTTAGGGACACCAAGGGAAATCAAAAAGTACCTTTGGTTTTTAAAAACTGCAGATACAATATTGTACCTTCATCAAAGGTACAAATCTGATCCATGAATGTACCACTACAGTAACAAGACACTTTATACCTTGACAGTATCAAATACATTCCTTCAAGAACTATTCAGGGGCATTTTGCCACTGTACTGTATATCCAAAATGCATCAATTTATTTTCAGTAAATATTAAACCTCAAAGACATTTTTAAACAATTTTTTAAAAGTTTCTTTTTGTGTAAATGCACCTTTTGCATTGACAATAAAGAAAAAAAAAATACTTTGAATAAATCAAAAGATCTTTTTTTTTGTTAAACATTTCACAACACTTTTTAACAAAAATGTAACAGAAATACATTCTCCCATGTACAATATAAAACATTTTTAAAAGTTTTAAAATTTGAATATAGAAATTATGCAAAAATATTGTAATGAGATTTGCACAATGTTTGATTCGTTTTACAACACTAAAATGTCTGCATGAGCACTTTGCATTTGCAGGACTTTTGCCAGCTCACATGCGTAGTGGAAAGCAAATGGCAAAAGGTGCAGATATCAATAGTGAAACTGTATTTATCAGAAAATGCTCACCAAATGTGTATTAAAAATGCCTTAAATGTTTAGTTTACAATACCTTTAGTTTTGTTGTACCAGTTGTTTTGTTCTATAGAACTTATATAATGTTTATGAGTTTCTTTAAACATATGCTTTTAAATGATGATTCATGTTGTAATATGGAAATTATTGATAAATCACTTTGCCTTTCCAGTAATATTTATTTTCATAGATATTGTTATAAGGGAGTTGTTCAACACTTTTGTACCTTTTTTATGAGAACAATTGTGTACCTTCATTTCAATTGTACTATAAAAGGAACAGTATCATAAGAGGTCTTTTCTGTGCCATAAGGTACAACTATCACAAAGGTATAAAACTGTTCCTTAAGGAACATTATAGGTACCACTGTGTCCCTTTTTTTTTTGAGAGTGTGGGGTAATTAGGCAAATCACTGTATAACAGTTGTTTGTTCTGTAGACAATAAAAATATGTTACTTAAGGGGGCTAATAATGTTGATCTTAATGTTTTTTTATTTATTAAAAACTGCTTTTATTCTTTCCAAAATAAAACAAATAAGACTTTCTACAGAAGAAAAAAATACTATAGGAAATACTGTGAAAAAATGCCTTGCTCTGTTAAACATTGTTTGGAAAAAATTTTGAAAGACAAAAAAAAATCCACATGAGGGCAAATAATTTTGATTTCAACTTTGATTTCTTCAATGAAGCATCAGCACATGACTATGGCCATGAGGTTAATTTTGCTGATGTCTTGCTCAAGTCGTGGTTCACACCCACATTAATGCAATCATGGGAACTTCTCCGTGTCAATGTGCTTTTGTTCTTGGAGTAACACATTTTGTGCAATATAGGTTTAGCCTGGTCACTCTGATTTGCAGAACAGTGAAAGAGAAGTGAACTTACCAGTCACATGAGCATATATAAAAATTGAGAGGACAAGTAGAGTTTATATATACACAGTATACATTTAATTAAACATTTCAGATGCACTCACTCATCAAATACAGTAAATCCTTCTAATTAAAATGAATCAGATTTTACACATTACAAAATGTAATTAAGACATTTACATCAGAGCTACAACAATGAAATATGTAAATCAGATATAATATTTAGTAAACAAATGCACAATTGGAGTAAAATATAGTGTTTGGTCTTGGCACTATACACTAAAAATATCATATCCATAAATAAGCAGTTTTCTGTATTCTGTGATCCATGTTTTAATTTTATGCATTAGAATTACATAATGGGACCTTGATCTTTTTTCCAACAACCTTAAGTCTTGACAATTAAAAAAAAAAAAGTGACTTTTATTAACTTTTTTTAAATAGTTTAAAGTGATGTATGGGTTGCTGTTTTTACATGACGTCATTGATGAGCTGCGAAATTCAGATGAAGAGCAGAAAGTGATTATTTTACATAGGAATCGCAATCAGAACATCAAAATGTTTCTGTTTTATTTTGTTCATAAATATTTAAATCAGCCAAAATAAGAAAAGTCAAACAGATTTGATCAACCTCCAAAAGTTTTTGGTCATAAAGGGAGGAAAAGTTCAAGAAACTGGCTGAAAAACAGAAGGAAGTGGGGCTTGTAATAAATTATTTTTTTTCATTACATCCATGTGTCCAAACGTTTTTGAACGCGATAATTAGTTTTACAGCACCAATAAAGATTATACACAGGTCTAGCTATGTGTATACAGTAAATATATTGTGTTCTGTAAAAATCAGATACAAACACCACCCCACTTATACAAAATCCAGGAGAATATAAATAACGTACCCTGCCATGTAATCACTGCAACGAAATCTCTGTCTGGTTTTGCAATAATCCAAGCCTTTACTGGCATTTCGGCAGAATAAACAACCGTAAAGTGAACATCAAGATGCAGTGAATATTTGTTAATGGTAAGTTTATCGACTGGACAAAAAAGAAATGCATTGTATGCTGCATCTGTTATTTTGTGATGTCTGGAAGATATCCGCATGGGGAAAAAAACTATAGTAATTTTAATAAACATGTTTTTGAACCAAATAGTAAAGTGTATAATGCGTGCAACTCTTTGTTAATAAATGCTACAGAATACTGTACATAGTAAACTGATCAACTGTAACGTTACTGTAAACAGTGGTGTATCGTGATGGTGTATAATTATGGTGTAGAAAACTGAAGCCTATTCAAAAACTTGTTTATTACTACAGTTGTGCTGTACCACAGCCACAATATAATTACAGTACGCCAGTTTATTTCAAGTAATTATCTATAGTCTGCCTCCAAACACTTTAGTATTTACTACAGTATTTTTAATGTAAGGTAGGTCTAATTATAAAGTAGGTAACGCATTGATTGCAGGCAAATAGAGTTCAGTAGAAAACTCGGCCCTCTTCATGATATAAGGATCATGGCCAACATATGTGCTTATTTTCTATTTACAGTTGAAGTCTGATGAGAATTATTAGCCCCCTTCGAATGTTTTTCATCTTTTTTAAATATTTTCCAAATTATGTTTATTAGAGCAAAGAAATTTTCACAGTATGTCTGATAATATTTTTTCTTCTGGAAAAAGTCTTATTTGTTTTATTTTGGCTAGAATAAAAGCAGTTTTTGATTTTTTAAACACCATTTTAGGGACAAAATTATTAGCCCCTTTAAGCTATTTTTTTTCTTAATAGTCTACAGAACATCGTTATACAATAACTTGCCTAATTACCCTAACCTGCCCAGTTAATCTAATTAAGCTAGGTAAGCCTGTAAATGTCACTTTAAGCTGTATAGAAGTGTCTTGAAAAATATCTAGTAAAATATTATTTACTGTCATCATGCCAAAGATAAAATAAAACAGTTATTAGAGATGAGTTACTAAAACTATTATGTTTAGAAATGTGTTGAAAAATTTGCTCTCCGTTAAACAGAAACTGGGGGAAAAAAAACCAAGCGGTCTAATAATTCAGGGGGGGCTAATAAATCTGACTTCAATTGTATATCTCATTTAAAATATGGTATAAACCGCAAAAAAACCTGAGAGGGGTCTGGCTGCAGACTCGGTGCAGATGCAATCTGAGATGCATCCAGTGCTTTTTAATGCACTTACCTAAACCCACCCCTAACCCTCACAGTAACGTCACTAGCTCTGTTGAGTGCATTGTGTCTGACATTGCATCTCTGAGCGATTCAATCTCAGCTTGCATCATAAAGGCTGCATCCAGATACTATTGAAAAATACAGACTTTCCTCTATGAGTCCCATTCAGTTTTTTACTTCCTGCCCTCCATCTGGATTTTACACTTCACCAGAACCACGTGATTAAAAACAACCTATGAGTTCAAACTACTAAAATGTCATTAAAGAGTGTAGAGTTGAATTTTCAACACCAAAAGTCGACAGAGCAAAGATCAACGTCTCATAATGCAATTCACAACCGTTGATAAACACTTGTGAATCACAAAATACAGACACAGTGATTTAACATATTTTCTACAGTGTAGATTCAATAGTGTCACCTTCTGAATCCAGCATATGGACGTTTTAAGGATCATGAATGGTGAAGCTTCTGCCAGTCCTGAAGTAGTTCTCAATCTCCTCCAGAGTTCGACCTTTGGTTTCCGGCACGCATTTAGCAGTGAATATTATATTCACTACAGAGACCACACAGAAGAACAGGAAAGGTACATACAGTCCATAGGCGACCTATATTAAAAGGTATGACATAAAAACATGAATACTAAATATATAATGACAACATTTAAAAAAAAAACATGTCAGTGTCAAAAGTTGGTTGTATTAACCTTAAAGACATCTTTAGGGTAAGATAAGAAAGAGATCAGAATGAAGATAAAATAAATGTTCTGCACTTCCTGTTTTGTAGGTTTGTAAAAACAGCTCACCACAACGTGCATGAAGAGTTGCGTCAGGACGAAGGCTGTGATCCAACTAACACCAACGCACAAACCGGATGCGACACCACGCGCACCCAAAGGTAAAATCTCTGACATTAGCAGCCATGTGATTGGACCCCAGCCCATAGCATAACCTGCATAAACAGAGTTTTACATGATCAGGCTTCAACAGTAAGCTGCACAAGACCAATCCACCTAATCTAAGCCAACACACCAAAAATGATAACCATAGCACTGATGAGAGGAATTAGAGTCTTTGGATCAAAAGCAGCCCCCGCTTGGACTTCAGAAGAGATATTCAGGCCGTCTGTTAGGGTAAGATTCCCTTGGCTGCATGGTGTTTGGTGGGTGTACATGGTCATTGAAAGCATGGCTATATATATCAAAAATCCTAAAGGAAAGAAAAAAACTTATTTTTTCATTGGTCTTTCCCATTAAAACAATTAAGATAAAATGAACCAATATGTTCTCTACAAACCTGAAGTGAAGAGTAGAGCTTTCCTGCCTGCTTTGTCCATCAAACTGGCTGCAATAGCAACAGAGATCAATCTTACAGCTCCTACTAAAGCTGCGTCATATTTCGGTTCCTGAATAGAAAGAAAATTATTAAACGTGCATTCAATTTTCTAACAGTGTGAATAAATAAATAAATGAATCTACTCAGTATGACCAAATTTGTGTGGCCTTTCCGGCATGCAAATGCAGCTCCTATCTCTTATAAGGAAGCATCAAATTCTCCAAAACTGATTGCCAAGTTTATGATCAAATGTAATATTTGGAATTGCAAACTTCTCTTTAATTTATCCTGCAACTGTCTTTGAAAATGAATTTCTGAAAGTTCGAGAACAAACAAAAAAACTGCTTTCTTTCAGGTTGCTTAAGCTAATCTGTATGCGCACCTACAACCTTCTTTTATGCTGTTTCTGAAGATGTCATCCTGTCAACCAAACTACATAACTATTATAACAACCAATAGCTTACATGTTACACAGTAATATCCTCTGAATTTTCATTTGTGTTGATTTGCATTTGATTGGCCGAAACAGGAATCAATTAAAATAATGAAAAAAATATATATTGAGGTCAGGCAAAAAAAGACTGAACCTTGCCTTTGTTTCATAAAGATTACAAAACCAGGGAACATTTGTTTTTAAAATGCATTTTGTTCATATAAAAGGCAAGATTTCAAGCTTGATGTAGATGTCTGTGAGACAAGTGTTCACCCCAAAGTGTTTATAACAATGAAGCTGCAGAAACTGTCGTAAAGACCAACGTCTGGCAAGCCCCACATTGTCAGTCTACAGTAGGACCAGACAGAGTCTGCGAACATTTTTGGCTATTTCTGCAGAGAATTTTGTAAAAAATCTACGCATTTATGCAGAATTATTTTAGAAGTATCATAACTAAAAACTTGATATATGAAATAAAAAAACACCTTTTAAACTTTTATTTAATGTTTACAGTGCAAATCCATCTAGATCCACTTATTTGGTAAACAAAGCAAGTCTCTCATATATCTACTAAATGACAGAAAATATTACTTTACAAACTGTTTTGTACATAAATCATGAACATTTTCATATTAGTCAACAATATTACTGAAAATAATTTAAAAACTTAATAAATAAAAATTTACATACATTTACACAAGTAAAAAAATAGACTTAATGATGGGCTAAAAATTGGAGGAAATCTGCTGATTTCTGCGTGCGCAGAGTCCTTGTGGGTCTAGTCTATAGCGATCAATTATTGACAGCTATACTAGCAGACTAAGCTTTCTTCACTAGAGTATTCATATTGAACTTTTTCCCCATTCAAAACCACCAGTCTTGTGTATCCTATAGTCTTTGATTTGACATACCAGCGATATAGCTGTCAGGTGGAATATGGGCTCCAGATATACCAGAATCGGTGTTATACCAGTCATTTGCTGAAGAAATCTCATGACGACTGAAATTAGGATTGGTTTATAGTATGATTTTGTTTTAAGATCGCTCCATTGTACACCCTGTTGGAGAGAATAAGCAAGTCCGTTAATATTGTATTTTTAAATGTTCAGACATTTGTTATTAGTGACATCGGTGGTCGTTAAGTGAACTGCAGCAGTAATTCATCACTAAAAAATAACTAATGTACAAGAGACTAAAAGATTAAATTCCCTGATATACAAACATTTTTAGCTCTTGAATAAGAAGTAGATTAGTAAAATAATAAATAATAAGTTATTGCTGCGATTTACTGATTACGAAGATAAAACCATCTTCACTTCTCATAGCAATGATTACATGAACATGCAAATAAATGCCTCTCAATAATAAATTAACCACATGCAAAAAAAACAGCAGTGACAACTTTCGCGCAAGTACTGGAGAGCGGTGTTGTCGTGCGCGTTCTAATCAGCGGTGTTGTCGCGCGTACTGTAAAGCAGGGGGGGGTTGTGTGGGGAGCGCGCGTACTCAAGAACGGTGTTGTCGCGCGCCTACTGAAGGGCGGTAGGGGGGAGGGGGTGTCGCGGGGGCACTTTTGATCATTTTGGAAGGGCACTTTCTATCCAAGACTTAAAAGGGCATGTGCACTGCACAGGTTGAGCCCTATGTGTGCACGTGCCTGGTTCACGAAAACTGTTTTGACAGTTTGATAAATATATTAGTGTATACTGTAGTTTAAATCATTAATGTTTGCATGACACATTGAAACTACAGAGGTGCGTTTCCAAAAACCATTGTTAGCCAACTAAAGTCGCAAGTTCTGTCAATAAAAACAGTTCACTGTTTTGGCACGTCCCAAGTAATAACCGGTTTTAAGGTATACCGTGGTTTTAAAAAATTCTGTTATACCGTTCCTAAGGAATTTAAATGTTTTTTTTTAACATGTTTTTATGACTATTTTATTGAGTTGAACATTGAACAGTGCAGTGGCTTACTTTATATCCGAAGAAAAGAAAGATATCGAAAGGTGCCTTTTCAAGCTGAAAAGAAATCTGTGTCTTTTCAACTAATTTAGATAGCAGAAGTCATTTAATGTTTGCTGACATTTATTGTTTCAAAATAGTTTTTTTACCCAGACATTTAAAAAGAAAATATTTTAGAGCAGTAATTACAATACCGTGATATCGTGAAACCATAATTTTTTTTACCCAAGTTTATCATACCATCAGAATCTTATACCGGCCCATGCCTATTCCCAAATCCATCGTTCCAACAAATATTTGCAAACTGCGTCGCAAACTTGCACACTTTCAACTACACCTCTAGAGCTGTAGTTAGAAGCATAGTTCCTGGCTGTGTTCTATTCCCAGTTATCCCCCCTGTGCCCTATTCCTTTCGAACATTCAAACATTTAAATTTGGTTAATTAATATGGAAAATGAGTGCATGTTTTTACCAAACCTAATATTGGATTTTTTTTAAATGCGTGTAAAACAATATAATTTGCACAAAAGAATTATTGGGTTTTTCTCTAAAGAAGGGCTTACTTCACCCTGTTTAGAGCATCATTAATTGTGTTTAACGTTATAATTAATGTGGTTCGAACAATTGATCTGCAACAAAACAGCTGCTGTTTTGAAAAACACTCTTCAGTAGTACGCCGTTCTTTTCCCAAACGATGCATTGTACCATGATAGTTCAGCCAAGAATTACGTCGTTATTTCGGAAAACCTTGGATTGGCACTTTTTAAGCCTACACTTCATGTGTCATACAATAGAGGAGATGTTCACTGGAGTTTAGATAAACCTAACATCCTTAAATCGTCACAGAAAAAAATGTCTTTCACATAAAAATCAGCCTATGGCCATTCATAGAAAACCTAACAAGGTTTTTGTAGTGTAATATACAACGCCAACCCAGACAATATATCACTTTAAACTATAAAAAACTGTTTAGAAAAGTCACTTGTTGGAAAAAAAGCTCAAGGTGGCATAAAGCAATTCAAAGGTGTAAATAAACATGAATCACAAAACAGATATTTTTTAGGATGTTGGTAAATATCTTGTTTCATTACAAGATGTTCACACGCTATCAATAAAAAAGCTAATCAAATATAAAAAATCTTGTGATTGCGTTTTACCTGAGTTGTGATGCTGCGTTCGATCTTATTAAACTCAGTCATATAATCAGAATTGGGCCCTCTGAGCCATTCTAGTGATTTAACAGCTTTAGCTCTGTTTCCTTTCATGATGTGGTAACGTGGAGAGGTCGGCATGCAGCAAAGCAAAAGCATCATGATAACAACAGGAACTTCCCCAGCCACAGCCAGCCACCTCCACGGCAAAATCAGGCCTGGAGGGAGATGATAGGATAGCATAATTCATAAAAGACATTCAGTACAATGCATAAAAAAAAATGCTTGGACATTCATGAAAGAGTGTTTCGTCATACAGCTAAAACAATCTAAGAGATTTGAGCTCTCTCACCAAAAGCGTAGAGCGCTAGACTTCCAAATACGGCAGTGATCTGAGGACATGAACCCAGCGCACCCCTTACGGACGGGTGGGAGATCTCTGACACGTACACCTGGGTGAAAAAACATTTTCTTAAAGTAACTTTTAAAAAGTAAATTAATTTTATCACAAGTGGATGAGGGATTGAGGGTTTTATCACAAGTAGATGAGGCTTTTTTATCACAAATAAATGAAGGTGTGAGTGAGGTTTAAATATGTGTTTTGTTATTTGGTCCTGTCCACTTTCAACCAGGCAGAAATGGCAATGCACCTCAGCTGGCAAGTTACGATCTGATAACTGGAACTAATAACTTAAGTATTCAATTGAACATTTACACTGTTAACATTTTCCTGTAGAAACTACAGTAACTTACAGGCAGCAGCTCACCAGTAACCTACTGTCAAATCAATTACAGCAAAAAATAATGCATCTACATTACATAGAGCACCATTTAACTTGATGTATATGTATTTGCAGTATTGTATGAATATCTTCACTGTAAAATATACAGTTATTCTCATAAGGCATCTTTAGTTAAATATTGTGCAATTTACAAATATCATAAATGGTGTATATGATATTTTAATAATATTGACACAAGCTGCCAAAAATAGGTGACTTTAATGGGCATAAAAACATATTCGTATGGCATTATTTTACATAAATGTTCAGAGTAAACTAATATTCCATACAAACTAATAGGGCTGCACAATATATCATTTCAGTATCTCGCCAGTAACTTACTGTAAATCAGTTAGAGCAAATATGCTGTATACATTTACAGCACTATTTATCTTGCTGTATATGTATTTGCAGAATTGTATATATGTCTTTACTGTAAAATATGTATTAATTTTCACAATGCAACTTTAAAATACAGTATGATACCGCATAACTGTCCTACCGTCAAATACAGTTCATATTACAGTTAAATACTGTAAACAGTAAAACTGTAAAACTTTAACAGTGTACCTACAAAGTTATTGCAATAATAATATATTGGAATAATCATGGGATTTTATAGAAACAATGAAGTACTTTTTTTTGTATTATGTACAAGTACAAAAATAGGGCGACAGGATACTGGAAAATTGTGTAATTTGCAATATTGTTGTTGATTACTGTATCAAGAAGCAAACTTGATAAAAGAATAAAAAAAACCTCAGCAGATATTTTGATTAGCTTTTGTCATTTTCCTCTCTTGTCTCGACTTGTGTCATAAGTATTTATTTTCAGCCCTGGAATCGCCCACGGGCTGCTTTAGCCAATAGCAGATCAGCAACTTTTAAGAAGGTGGGCATTTATATCTTAAAGTCCCATTTGATTGGTTGAATTTAGATTAACAAATGTTGTTTGTTTTTTTTGCTTTATCTCCTTGGTTTTTACTTGTGTTTGCATATTTATGTACATGATAGTTTATAACTTTTTAACATTCTGTCAAGTGTCTACAGATGAAAATAGCCATTCTTGGCTAATTCTGGCACATTTTACAGTAATGTTGATTAATGTGCATTGCCCCTGTAAACAAATAAACAAAAAAAATCGAATGCACTTATCAAACAAATCTGCATTACTTATATTGCATATACAATTATCACTATCACTATAATTTTTTTTCAATATATTGTGCAGCCCACCAAAACAACTACTGCTTTTTTAAAGTGCAGTCTGCAAACTTTTTTTTTAAATGCTGTGACATATTGTCTAAAAGATAACTTACAGGAATGGAGCCCGCAGTGATGCCACCAGCGATACCAGTCAGAAATCTGCCCCATAACAACATCCAGAAGTTTTGTGCAGATCCCATCACAAGGAGACCAAGAACAGACGGTAATCCTGATATCATGATGCTTATTTTTCTTCCGACTCGGTCATTCAGAAACATGGCACTGAGACCCCCTGCAGCCGCTCCAAGAGTGAAAATTGACTAAAAGACAGAAGAGATGCATGTTACAAAGATGTAGCTTATGTGCATGGTTGGACCTGAAGAATTCCTTATACAGTTATAACAGTCATACTGCAAACCAATACAACATTTTAAATGTGCAAGTACACTGTAAAAAATCAATATTATTTAACAGGTAATTGTCTGTATTTTTCAGCTTTTTTTCATTATACTTTGAAATATTTGTTGTTTTACAGATATGTTCTGTAATAAAAAAAATCTAACATTAAATTTACTGTTATTGCTTGTATTTTGGTATTACGTTATTTTCCTGTTTTTTAAAGGAAATCTTCTGTATTTTCAGAGAGTAGCACGTATTTTACGGTAATATTTACAGAATATTCCCGTAAAAGTAGAGAAACAAAACTTGTTTTTAGTGAAGATAGTAATCATATGAAGATTAACATGAGGTTAATACTGTCAAATAATAGCCTATTGATTTTAGGCTGCATTTAATACATGCACTATAAACTATCAAAGTTTTATTATAAAATGTTACTAACAATGTTGCTATGCTAATTGTTATGATCACAAGTGATCTAGTAGTTGTAAATCGCTGGAAAACTACACACACGCTACTTTAACAAACTACAGCATGCACCTCATACATCCGGTTTTCTAATTCTCACTAATTAGACACAGAGTCAGAACAGAAGATCGTTAGGGACTGATTTCAAGGACTATAAAAGCACACACAGATACATAATTGCTGAGTCTTAAACTGTTTAATGGGCATTACGACACGTTTCCCATTGACCCCTTTACTTTGTTATTTTGTTTGCCACCTTTACTCTTGGGATTATCTGTATGCACCTGTTTGTTCCTGTTTTAACCTTTAATTGCGATACAATTCCCTTGATAAACTTCTATTTGATCCTCAACTTTGCTGTGCAGGCATCCTCACATGACATTGTTGTTAAATGATGACCAAATGTGTTATTTGTTAAAAAAAAAAATAATAAATAAAAATGTGATATTATTAAGCAAATAGTTTTGGAGTTTAACCTACATATCCTAAAAATATTTGTTAAACTATATTATAGTTAATTGTTATATTTACAGTGTTTTATGACAACAGCATATTTTAGTACCTAAGCTTTTTAATCATTTTTTAAAATCTTTTTTTTCTGTTTTAAATGTATGTTAAAACTGGAACTATTTATGGAATATTTAAAGATTTCATGCATAATTACATGAATAAATCTGTATAATCACAGTAATTTATACATTTCTGTATGATTCACATTAATCAGTTTAAATGCAAATTGTCAACAGTAATAAACTGTAACTTAATGAATTTTGTCTGTAAAGTAGGTTCTGTATTTTTACAGTTTTTGCATGTAATTTTGTTAAATGGTTATTTTCTGTAATTTAACGGAATATCATTGGAAACCCTGTTGCCAGTCTTTTGACCGTTTAGTTTTAACAAATTGTTTTTACAGTGTATACAATAATAATCATTTACAAAAACAGGGTACATAAGGTGATTATCAAACTTCAAATGCAAACTTAAAAGTACAGAATTAGAGAAACTAAACTATGAAGTTGTGCAAAAGTTTAAGTGTGCTATTAGGACTTATTACTTATTTTAAACAAAAAATAATAATTCTAAATATTAAAGCTACTTTTGTGACATAAAATTCTGAGTTTAAAATGTTTTTGATCAAGATATACTTAATATTCATGATTATTCCTTTGGTTTTACAGCTAACTAAATCCAAGAATAAAAAAAATACTAAATATAAATGTTTTAAGCGCATTTATATAAGTCTATTAATTGCACTTATACAGTATAAACTGTTAAGTACAAAACTAGTTCATTGAGAGTACTTAAAAACATTTACATAAACTGAAGAATGTATGAAAAGTATAATTATACTATTATTATAAGTATGACGGTATTAAAGAAAGCTCAATAGTATGCAGTATAAAAGCTACAAAAGAAGTGGCTTATTGAGTATACTTCAAAGTGTACTTAAAACAAGAAAAAGTTGTATTATACTGCGATACTAATCTGTAATATTTTACAATAACAGTACATGAGTAATGATTAATATGTAAACTAAACATTACTTTATTATGAGTTTGTGAAGAGTTAAGGCACACACTAATCATGCACTAACTTTAACTAAAGCATGAGTCACAAGAGTTCATGTGTGAATAACAGCTACCTTAATTACATATGTATGTGCTTGTACATGTTGATAATTAATGTATTAATTAACATTTAACTTTAAGTAAAATTAACTCACGAGCTGTTAATGTATAATTATGGTGCGACTTAACTTGGAGGGGCACATAACATTAACTCATCCTTTACTCATCAACTCCTGTGTTCATGTAAACTGTTCATGTAGATGTTAAATGAACACTTTTTCATTGTTATTCAGAGTAAACGCACTAGACGGTCGTGTTATTATGAGTTAAGAATGGGTTAATGATGATGTGCCCCTCCAAGTAAAGTCATGATACTTAAACACTAACATATCATGATGTTAAAATAATCATAAATTAATGTGCTAATTAATACATTACTTAACAAACAAGCATGTACTAACAAGGGCTTTATTCACAAATGAACTCATGTGACTCATGATAGTTTAAGTTAGTTCATTTTAGTTAAATTAAATTTTAACACATCATTATTTATATTGTTATTGTAAAGTGTATGTAAATGCACATATAAGCATATGTAGCCAATATGGTTCCACTTAAAAGTATGCTTTAACTAAAAAGCGAGCCATTTAGTCCCAAATAGTATTTAAACATGACATCTATAGTATATTTATAAATTAGCATAATGATAAAGTTTACTTAAAAAAAAAAAAGTACAGGAGACTTAAACTGCTGTATAACACTGAAAAACACAAAGAAACAAGGATCTGAAAATCTGACTATTTTAGATGGCTTAAATATCAGTTAAATATCAAGATTTTCCATACACATACACACACACACACACAAAAAACACCTTGATTTGCAACCCGACTCTATGGAATGATTTCGGGTAGTTTTGATGGGAAATTACCTAAAGGGGAAGTGCCAAACACTATTTATAACAAAGCAGACTCAACGGTAAAGGTAAAAAAGATAAATAATAATAATAATCTTACACCAAACCATGATATCTGATGGACGTTCATTTGCAGCCGAGTGTCATCTCCTTGTTTAAGCTGAGGGATGACAGGGGAAGGGAACACTAAAGCAAATCCGAAATTGAAATTGCCCAGGACCGCTGAAAACACCGCAAGGTAGAGCTTTCCATGACTGGAAAAGTACAGGAGCACAAAGCAGGGATGAAATAAAAACTGTGTCAGAAAAATGTTATTGAGATAATATAATTCAAATAAAGTATAAGAACAGATAAAGTAACCTTATCCGGGGTGGTGAGTTGTTAATTAACGGGGTCGCTTCATCCGAACGGTCTGCCATCTCTCCTCCGTCTTACCCTGCAGACTGAATGACTTGGAAGCACGAACGAGTATAAATGAGAGCAAGTGAAAGTAAAACTCCATTTTTGCAATACTGGGATTTCTTAGTTCTTAGGGTAGACATGGTTCAAAAGAATTAAGGAAGCAAAATAAGAGCTTCCTCATTGTGTGCTCAGCAACCACAACTTATACCGTCAGCAGCCGCAACGCCATTCAGAAAGAAAAGATCCAGTGCCAAAGCTGAAGGAAGTTTACAAGTATATGGGAACAACAGCTCGGCATATACCCAATTATATTCATCTGTATCCATATTCTACTGCATCCCATAATATTACGCAGCACCAAAAATGTAAAATATATATATATATATATATATATATATATATATATATATATATATATATATATATATATATATTGAATATATTTAATATATTTTTGTGTACGGCAGACGGCAACTCGCCGTGACGCAGATTCCCAAGTCTGTGTGCTCCTATCAGGTGAGCCCTCTTCAGCGCTCCGCCATGACAACGAGATAGCAGTGACGTGCCTTGTAAAAATTTGCATCTGCATTCCTATAAAGCTCGTGTGCTCTCTGTCATCGTTGTCAGTTCGCTCGGTGTTGCTGTTTGTACTTGACCAAGGTGAGTTCATTACCGACGGTACGAGTGGAGCCACGCCAATCTCACGAAGTCCGCTTCGTGAAGCTTCACTCGGGCCGTCTGTGCTGTAGTTCCTTGTGGTTTACGTACATAAACGTAACATCGCAAGGAATATTACTGTTTGTTGCTCGAAATGTGCCGCCGAGCAACATCCAGTGAATACTGGCACGGCCTGGCGCCCGGTCTTCTCGTGCACTCCCTGGGGCGAGGCGGCCTTTGAGCCCTAGGCAGGGAACAAACAACCCAAGAGGACCCTCAGGGAAACACGGGGGGCCGGTAGTGGGACGTCGCTGCGAGGGTTATGGTGGGTGGGAGTAGCGAGGCCCACTCATCGTCTATTTTAAACAATAGTTTCAAACTTTAGTTTACTATAGTTTGAAATAGACACCATGGTAACTGTTATGATTTAACTTTATACAAAGAGTTTAGAATGACCAAGAGCAACAGCCTCGGATTCCGCCATTTTGAAGTGAAAGCGATCGGCCCGTCCATTGGATCTCATTGCTGTCGCTATGGAAAGCAGCTGCTTTGTTTTTATTTAATTTATTCAAAAAGCGCGTTATTGTTTCCCAAATTGTAGAGTGTCGCCTCTTGGTGATTCTATGCTCTTTGCTCTTTGTCTGACTGTTGTAATGTTTTGCTTTGTTTTTCAGCTAAGCTGTTGAGCAAATAAGGACTATTGAAGACAACAGTTGAAGACAACCGCGGGTTATATTCACGAGTGCGCGCGTTATAATGTTTCCGGGTTGTTTTCTGAAAGTTTGTCTTGTTTGCATGTCAAACTAAATAAACTATACTCTTTCTAAACACCTGTCTCGTGTTTTATTTGTCCTCTACAGCAATGCACTGTCATGTAAGTCTGTTGAATGCATTTGTATGCAACATGGTTTGACAATACAGTATTCTAACAAATAAATGGTTGTTATTAATGTACCTTCATTAGTCAACATTTGGTGTAGGTAATAAAAAGTTAATCAAAGATGTCCTAAGACATAAGGGTTATGTTATGGTTGTTTCATAACTATGTTTAATATTATTCTGTATGATTAAAACCAGCAAATTATACTATATATTTAACATGTCATGAACTTACTGTTATTATAAAATTTGCTTATTAAAATGTCCTAAGACATGAATGGGTGTTGTTTTGATTTAATGGCAACCTACAGTAGGATTAAGGTTGACTACAGCAGGTATAGGCTACATACATCATAGGGAGTTTTTTTAATGACCCAAATCTAGTAAAACGTCTCTTACTTAAAAACTTTTAGCATGCAAAAGTCAAATTTAAATATATAAAATACAAAAAAAAATGAAAAGACCAGTGTGGTGGTGACAAAAAAAAGTAATATCAAGTTATATATATTTATAAAAGAAGTTGAACAAGTTGTCATAATATTTAGTCATTAGATCATGTGACCGCTAGATGGCGCTCAATTAAAAGGAGCGTTCATTTCAAAGGAGCGCTACCCTGTACTAAAATGGCGGATCTATTGACGCATTCCTTCCAATAGACAACATCAGGGTAGGCGACATCCAATGTATATTTCTATGGGAGCTAACTAGTATTCACGTCATATCATGCTCAAATCTTATTACTCTTTTACGCTCTTTGAGAGTCTTGGCTGGATTTCAGAATGATATTTAGGCAACTATGAAGTAGCAGTGCCGTCTGTGTACCATTAGATGCTTGATAACAGATATAAGTTGAGTTTTGGGGGGGGGGGGGGGGTGTAGGGTAATAATTCATCAACAACATGAAACAGCACAAGCTGTATTAAATATTATTTTTAATGACCCATTTGTAAAATATTTTAATTAAAGCCTTTGAGTAAATGATTTAATTGATTTTAATTCGAAATTGAAGAAGTAGCCAATTCTTTTACTTTTTTTATAAGTGGAAACAAAAATGATGAGCATATGAAAATAGTAAAATTGATATTGGACAGTAAGCAGGTCTTGTATTTGGCTTATTCAGTAATCAGTACTCAATGTTTCCATTTGCATTTAATTTAGTTTACAACCTTACCATTCATTCATTAATTTTCCTTTCGGCTTATTCCCTTTATTAATCCGGGGTTGCCACAGCGGAGTGAACCGCCAACTTATCCAGCACATATTTTATGCAGCAGATGCCCTTTTAGCCGCAACCTCTCTGGGAATACAACCTTACCGTTTATTTATTTATTTTTTATTTGATCTATGATTGTTTTTACATTATTATTATTATTATTTTTATTATTATTAATGGGGTTTGCCTTAGGCAAAGTCCATTCTTACTATTGTGGTTTATTATTAATGGGGTTTGCCATAGGCAAAGTCCATTCTTACTATTGTGGTTTATTATTAATGGGGTTTGCCATAGGCAAAGTCCATTCTTACTATGCTCTTTTTTGCTTGTTATTATTTTTTTCTTCTTCTTCTTCTTCTTCCTTCTTCCGTCCCATTTTTCGGCGCGTAACTAGTCCCGCAGCTTTTGTCCCAGACCCTTGAAAGTAGGGTCAAATCGTGCGGTCTTATCGGGAATGGTGTGCTATGACTTTTATAAGGGGTGGGGGGTTTTTTGGCCCCGCAGGGGCCAAAAAACCCCCCCAAAAATCCCATAGACTTAACATTGAGCTGAACTTTGACGAATCACAGCGCCAAGTATGAATTTCCTAGAAATATGGGATTCACAACATCTGTAGGGGGTTGCAGCCTAAGTGAGAACATACCCCGCAAGGGGGTATAAGTTGCACCCCTGGGGCTCTAGGACGTCCCAAAGTTTTCCCATTGACTTACATGGGCCCCATTGACTCCCATTCATTTTTCTAGAAGAGCACTAACGCCCCCGCGAAATGGGACAACCTTTGAAGCGTTATAGCACCAAGTGTGAAATTCGTAGAAATATGGGATTCGCAACATCTGTAGGGGGTTGCAGCCTGTATGAGAACATACCCCAAAAGGGGGTATAGGTTGTACCCCTGGGGTGCTAGGACGTCCCAAAGGGGTCCCCATTGACTTTACATTGCCCATTGACTCCCATTCATTTCTTGACTCACATGTCAATCACATTACATAGCAGTGTCATAGACTTAGGGGTTGGCCTATTTGACTGAGGCAACCAATCAGCATCTCAATATGATTTTGAAGCTCACAAGCCACGCCCCCCAAAACCATTTAAAGACCCTTAATAACTGCCCCATTGACTTAACATGGGGTGGGACGTCCCATTGCAAATCCCATTGACTTCTATTATAAATGTCACACATCAATAACATTACATAGGAGTGTCATAGAGAAATGGGGGTGGGCACATTTGACTCAGTCAACCAATCAGCATCACTATATGATAATGAAGCTCACAAGCCACGCCCACAAATGAGTCCCATAGACTTCTATTATAATAGGGCTAAATGCATATCTTTGCATAGCAGTGTCATACAGACTTGGGGGTCGACTCATTAGACTCAGACAAACAATCAGCTTTTTATTATGATAATGAAGCTCTTAAGCCACGCCCCCAAATCCATTTAAATATCCTTTATAAGTGTTCCATTCACTGCCATTTTATCTGGTCTACATGCATAACAGTGTCCTATAGACTTAAGGGTTGGCTCATCTGACTCAGACAACCAATGAGCATCTCAATATGATAATGAACCTCACAAGCCACGCCCCCAAATTGATTCCATAGACTGCCATTATAACTGGCCTACATGCATATCTTTGCTTAGCAGTGTCCAATTGACTTGGGGGTTGGCTCATCTGACTCAGACAACCAATCAGCATCTCAATATGATAATAAAGCTCACAAGCCACGCCCCCAAACTGGTCCCATAGACTCCCATTATAACTGGCCTACATGCATATCTTTGCATAGCAGTATCATAGAGACATGGGGGTTGGTTCATTTCACTTAGACAGCCAACCACATTCAAGTTCACTCTGTAACCTCGCCCATAGCAACAAAACAGAGTACCCTAGCAACTATTCATCAACAGCTATATCTCAGCATCAGAACATCGTAGACACTTGGGGATTGGCTCGTTTGACTCATGCTAGCAAACGGAACTTCCTATACGCTACACATGCTAGCAGTGACTAGCTATATGCTAATATTGACTAGCCAAGTACTGTAACTTGCTAGAAATGCTTACTAAGTATAAATGTTTTATCAGGCATGTATGTGAGGCTTGCCTAGTAACCACCCAGGGTACCCTAGCAACTGCCTAGCAATCACCCAAATTACCCTAGAAACCGCCTAGCAACCGCCTAGTAACGCCTTAGTAAGGGCCTAGCGACCACTCAGGACACCCTAGCAACCGCCTTGCAACGCCTTAGCAGCCACTTAGAATACCCTAGTAACCACCTAGCAACACCTTAGCAACCACCTAGCAAACACTCAGGGCACCCTAGCACTGTTGCTAGCATGATGCTAGCAACTCGATTAGCATGTTGCTAGCATCATGCTAACACGATTAGCATAACG